ATGGCTACATCTGCAACTAGAAGTCAGAAGAGAAATTGTGTAATAGGGCGGAAGGTCAAGCCTCGTTGTTTAGAGGTGTGGAGAATGGGTACAACTATTAAGACAAGGATTGAAAACAGAAGGGCGAGGACTCCCCCAAGTTTATTGGGGATCGAGCGGAGGATGGCATAGGCAAATAGGAAATATCATTCAGGCTTGATGTGGGGCGGGGTGACTAGGGGGTTTGCAGGAGTAAAGTTGTCGGGGTCTCCGAGCAGGTTAGGGGAGAAAAGGGCTAGGGAGATGAGGGCAATTAAAAGGACTGCAAAACCTAGTAGGTCCTTGTAGGAAAAGTAAGGATGAAAAGAGATTTTGTCGGAGTCTGAGTTGAGGCCTGTGGGGTTGTTAGATCCGGTTTCGTGTAAAAAAATAAGGTGCACTATGGTTGCAGCTGCAATAATGAAGGGGAGGAGGAAGTGAAAGGCAAAAAAACGAGTGAGGGTGGCATTGTCTACGGAGAATCCGCCTCAAATTCATTGGACTAGAGAATTGCCGATATAAGGGACTGCGGAAAGAAGATTTGTAATGACAGTGGCGCCTCAGAATGATATTTGTCCTCAGGGGAGGACGTAGCCTACGAAAGCTGTTATTATAGTTAAAAGGAGGAGGATTACTCCGATATTTCAGGTTTCTTTATATAAGTAGGAGCCATAGTACAAGCCTCGGCCAATGTGGAGGTAAATACAAATGAAGAAGAAAGATGCGCCGTTAGCGTGCATATTTCGGATGAGTCAGCCGTAGTTGACGTCACGGCAGATGTGGGCAACAGAGGAGAAGGCGGTGGCGATGTCGGAGGTGTAGTGTATGGCTAGAAAGAGGCCTGTCAGAATTTGGGCGGCGAGACAGAGCCCTAGTAGGGACCCAAAGTTTCATCAAACGGAGATGTTTGAGGGGGCTGGGAGGTCAACTAGTGCGTCGTTTGCAATTTTTAGGAGGGGGTGGGTTTTTCGGAGGTTGGCCATTATTGTTTTTGTAGTTGAATAACAACGGTGGTTTTTCAAGTCATTGGTCCTGGTTAAAATCCTGGCAGAAACTATGGTTTATATTATGTTTATTTTCTTGTTAGGGCTGGTGTTGGGGCTTGCAGCGGTTGCTTCTAACCCCTCGCCGTATTTTGCGGCGTTGGGGCTGGTTGCAGTAGCAGGCATGGGGTGTGGGGTGTTGGTGGGGCATGGAGGATCTTTCTTATCTTTAATTTTATTCTTGATCTATTTGGGGGGGATGTTGGTAGTGTTTGCATATTCAGCAGCGTTAGCTGCTGAACCTTATCCGGAGGGCTGAGGGAGTTGGCCGGTCCTAGGGGTCATAATGGCTTATGTACTAGGGGTGTGTGCGGCAGCGGGGCTATTTTGAGGGGGGTGATATGAGGGCGCTTGAGTTTCAGCCGACGAATTTGCTGAATTCTCGGTTTTTCGGGGGGATATTGGAGGGGTAGCTTTGATGTATTCGGCTGGCGGGGGCGTCTTGGTAATAGGGGCTTGAGTGTTGTTGTTGACGTTGCTTGTGGTGTTGGAGTTAACACGGGGCTTAAGTCGGGGGGCTCTTCGAGCTGTTTAATAAAGTAACAGTAGAAGAGCTAGGCCGAAGGTGAAGAAGAAGAGAGAGAGATAGGTTTTGATTATGCCTTGTTGAATGTTATTGGTTGTTGTAATTAAAGGGAGGCTGAGGGAGGCAGTTGCTTTTGGGCCAATTTTTTCTAGTCATGTTTGGTCAACCGTTTGGGAGGCGATGGTTTGTCCTAGAGTCAGGCTTAGTTTGGGGGTGAGGCGGTGGATAATTATTGGAAAGAATCCTAGTATGTTAGAAAAATGATGGGGGGCAAGTTTTGGAGTTGGGTTATATTGTTTGTTGGTAAGGGAGGCAAGTTCTAGTGCGGTAAGAAGGCCAATAATGGTTACTACGAGGGCGGCAGCTTTGAGAAGAAAGGGTATGGACATAACTGGTGTTTTTAGAGGGGTAATGTTGGAGGTGATTAGGAGGCCGGCGACTACACTTCCTCAGGCAAGACGTTTGATGGGGTTAATAACTGTTGGGTTATTTTCATTAATAGGGGAGAGCGGGTTGAAGCGGGGATGTCCTATTGATACAAAGAAAACAACTCGGAGGCTATAGATAGCGGTGAAGGAAGTGGCTAGGAGGGTGAGGAAGAGGGCTCAGGCGTTTAGGTAAGATGTGTTTAGGGCTTCAATGATGGCATCTTTTGAAAAGAAGCCTGCTAAGAAGGGGGCCCCTGTGAGAGCTAGACTTCCGATGGTTAAACAGGAAGATGTAAAAGGGGTTAGGTGGTGCATGCCCCCCATTTTTCGGATGTCTTGTTCGTCGTTTAGGCTGTGAATGATAGACCCTGAGCAGAGGAAGAGTATAGCCTTAAAGAATGCGTGGGTGCAGATGTGAAGGAAGGCAAGTTGGGGTTGGTTGAGTCCGATTGTAACTATTATTAGGCCTAGTTGACTTGATGTTGAGAAAGCAACAATTTTTTTAATGTCATTCTGGGTGAGGGCGCAGGTTGCGGTAAATAGGGTGGTGAGGGCCCCTAGGCAAAGGCAAATAGTGAGGGCAGTTTGGTTGTTTTCTAACATTGGGCTTATACGAATGAGGAGAAAAATACCTGCTACGACTATGGTGCTTGAGTGCAGTAGGGCAGAGACCGGTGTAGGACCTTCTATGGCAGAAGGAAGCCATGGATGGAGGCCGAATTGGGCGGACTTGCCGGTAGCAGCAATAATAAGGCCAATAAGGGGATAAGTTAGGTCAAAGTCTTTGGATAATGTAAATATTTGTTGTATTTCTCAAGAGTTAAGGGAGGTCGCAATTCAAGCTATAGCAAAAATTAAACCAATATCCCCAACTCGGTTATAGATTACTGCCTGAAGGGCAGCGGTGTTTGCGTCTGTGCGGCCATATCATCAGCCAATAAGAAGAAAAGATATAATTCCGACCCCTTCTCAGCCGATAAATAGTTGGAACATATTGTTTGCGGTTACAAGAATAATCATGGCAATGAGGAAAATTAATAGGTACTTAAAGAATCGGTTTATGTAGGGGTCGGCGTGTATGTATCAGGAGGCAAATTCTAGGATTGATCACGTGACATATAGGGCGACGGGGGTGAAGATGACTGAATAAATATCAAACTTAAGACTGATGTTGATGTCAAAAGTGTGGGTATTTATTCAAGCGCAGTTGGTAATAATTGTTTCTGCGCCTTCATTGAGAAAAAGGCAGAGAGGAAGAATGCTAGCAAAAAAGGCTCATTTTACTGCAGTTTTAACTTGGGTTAGGGCTCAGTTTGGGGGGAGAGGGCGCGGAGAAAAGGAGGAGAGGACTGGAAATGTAAGAAGTAAAAAAATGAGAACTAGGGTGGTGGCTATTATGATGGGGGTGAGGTGCATAGCTGCTACTTGGATTTGCACCAAGAGTTTTTGGTTCCTAAGACCAACGGATGAGCTGTTATCCTTTAGAAGCGGGGGCGAGTGAGCTTAGGAGTTTAACCCAAGGGGCAAAAATTAGCAGTCTTTGTTGTTTTCAACCTCTCTCGGTGGATAAGAGGGTTCTAACCTCTGTTTTTAGAATCACAATCTAATGTTTTTGTTAAACTATATCTACAGGCAGTCCAGCCTCAGATTAATTCGGGCTTGGAGATTAGAAGAATTAGGGGAAGGAGGTGGAGGGTCAGGAGTAGGTGTTCTCGGGAATGTGTTGGGTCGAGGAAAGTAATATGTGCTGGTAGGGGTCCTCGTTGTGTTATAAGGAACATGTACAAGGAGTAGCCTGCAGTAATAAGGGTCCCAGCCCCGGTAAGTGCAATTGTTCATCAAGATCAGTGGAATAAGGAGGTAATAATTATTAGTTCTCCTATTAAATTTGGAAGAGGGGGAAGGGCAAGGTTTGCAAGGCTGGCAATGAATCATCACGCGGTTATTAGGGGCAAGACCACTTGAAGTCCTCGGGCTAAAACTATAGTCCGGCTGTGTGTGCGTTCGTAATTTGTATTGGCAAGACAGAAGAGGGCGGAGGAAGTCAGGCCGTGTGCGATTATTAGAATGAGGGCGCCTGTAAAGCCTCAGGGGGCTTGGATTAGAATTCCTGCTGCTACAAGACCTATGTGGCTTACTGAGGAGTAAGCAATTAGTGACTTTAAGTCTGTTTGGCGTAGACAGATGGAGCCTGTTATAATCACTCCTCAGAGGGCTAAAATAATAAAGGGATAGCTGAGTTCCTTGGTGAGGGGCTCTAGCATACTCATTATGCGTATTATTCCGTAACCCCCCAGTTTTAGTAAAACTGCGGCTAGTACTATGGAACCGGCGATTGGGGCTTCAACGTGTGCTTTGGGAAGTCAAAGATGGGCCCCATAAAGGGGCATTTTTACTAAAAAGGCGAGTAAGCACCCGGCCCATCATAGCTTGTCAGCGAAAGAGAAAAGTTGTATGGAAGGGGCATATTGTAGTGTCAGGAGGGATAGGGTTCCAGTACTGTTTTGGAGAAGTAAAAGGGCGACGAGTAGCGGGAGGGATCCTGCTAGCGTATAAAATAGAAAGTAAGTGCCCGCGTTTAGTCGTTCTGTTTGGTTTCCTCAGCGAGTAATAATTACTAGGGTTGGAATGAGGGTGGCTTCAAATATAATATAAAATATAATTACTTCGGTTGCACTGAAGGCTATAATGAGAAAAATTTGTAGGGATGTAAGGAGAGTGATGTAGGTTCGTTGGCGGGAGAAAGGTTCAGATGCTGTGTGGTTTTGACTTGCAAGAATTATTAAAGGGAGAAGTCAGCAGGTTAGTGCGAGGAGGGGGGTGGAGAGGGGGTCAGTTGCCATGTAAGGGCTAAGGAAGGACCAGCCTGATTCTGCGGACGATTTTAGTCAGGTTAAGCTAATTAAGGAAATAGCTAAGCTGTAAGAAAGGGCGGCGGATCAGAGGTGTTTGGCTGGGATGCTTCAAATAGTGGGGATGAGCATAATAGTGGGGAGGAGAATTTTTAGCATTGCAGAAGATTCAGGCTTTGGAGTCGGTCTGTTCCGTGGGTGCGGGCAGTAGCGACGAGTAGTGCGAGACCGGCCCCTGCTTCACAGGCTGAAAAAGCCAGGAGAAGTATGGGGGAGGCTGAAAAGCTAGCAGAGTTAAGCTGAAGGGTTCATATGGAGAGGGCAATAAAGAGTGAGAGTATTATTCCTTCTAAACATAGGAGGGCGGAAAGAAGGTGAGTTCGGTGAAATGCTAGGCCTGCTAGGCCGAGAAGAAAGGTTGAGGAAAAGGCGAAGTGTGTAGGAGTCATTAGGCGGTTATGGACTTTAACCACAAGTTCTTGAGCCGAAATCAAGGGTTTTTCTTAAACTAACAGCCTATTCAGCTCATTCTAGGCCCCCTTGAATTCATTCATAAATTAGGCCGAGGGTTAATAAGATAAGAACAGTAAAGGCTCAGGTGAATGTTATGAGGGGGGAGGAGAGTTGGTCCCCTCAGGGGAGGGGGAGGAGTAGCGCGATTTCTAAGTCGAAGAGGAGGAAGAGGATTGCGACGAGGAAGAAGCGGAGGGAGAAGGGTAGGCGCGCAGACCCTAGGGGGTCAAAGCCACATTCATAGGGGGAAAGTTTTTCATGATCAGGGGTTATTTGGGGGAGCCAAAAGGAAACAATAGCGAGAATAGTGGAGAGGACAATAGAAATAATAAGTATTGTTGTGATTAAATTCATTATCTTTCCTTGGGGTTTAACCAAGATTAAGTGATTGGAAGTCACGTGTACTAGCTTTGATACTAGAAAGATATGAGCCTCATCAGTAAATTGAGATGTATAGGAATAGTCAAACAACGTCTACGAAATGTCAGTATCAGGCAGCTGCTTCAAAGCCAAAGTGGTGGTCGGATGTAAAATGATATAGGACTTGTCGTAGAAGGCAGATGGCCAAGAAGGTAGAGCCAATGATTACGTGAAGTCCATGGAAACCAGTTGCTACGAAGAAGGTGGAGCCATATACTCCGTCTGCAATTGTAAAGGGGGCTTCGTAGTACTCTATGGCTTGAAGGAAGGTGAAATAGAAGCCTAGGAGAATGGTTAGGGCGAGGGACTGGATTGCTTCTTTTCGATGTCCTTCTATGATGCTGTGGTGTGCTCAGGTAACTGTTACTCCTGAGGCTAGGAGGACGGCTGTGTTAAGTAGTGGTACTTCGAAGGGGTCTAGAGGGGTAATTCCTGTGGGGGGTCAGCAGCCTCCTAGTTCAGGGGTGGGGGCAAGGCTGGCGTGATAGAAGGCCCAGAAGAAGCCTAGGAAGAAGAAAACTTCTGAGGTAATAAAGAGGATTATTCCGTACCGGAGGCCTTTTTGGACAGGAGGGGTGTGGTGTCCTTGGAATGTTCCCTCTCGGATGATATCTCGCCATCATTGATATATAGTTAGGAGGAGCAGAATTAGGCCTAGGGCCAATAGGGTCATATCATGGAAGTGCATTCAGATTGCTAAGCCGGATGTCAGGAGAAGGGCGCCTACTGCGCCTGTTAGGGGTCATGGGCTGGGGTCAACTATGTGATATGCGTGTACTTGATGGGCCATTAAACGTTTTCTTGTAGATAAAGGCTTAAGAGAAGAACAAAGACATAGGCTTGAATCATGGCTACTGCCACTTCTAGAAGGGTTAGGAGAAATAGCAATACTGCGGTAAGAATTGCTACTGTAGGTATAAGGGGAAGTAGGACGAAAGCAGCGGTGGCAATGAGCTGAATTAAAAGGTGGCCAGCCGTGAGGTTTGCGGTTAACCGAACCCCAAGTGCAAGGGGGCGGATAAACAGGCTGATTGTCTCGATAATAATTAGGACGGGAATTAGGAGGGTAGGGGTACCTTCTGGTAATAAGTGTCCTAGGGCATGGGTGGGTTGGTTTCGCATGCCAATAATGACTGTTGCAAGTCAGAGGGGGACGGCAAAGGCTATGTTAAGGGAGAGTTGTGTTGTAGGGGTAAAGGTGTAGGGGAGAAGTCCAAGTATGTTTAAGGTAATGAGAAAGAGTATGAGGGAGGCGAGAAGGGCGGCTCATTTATGGCCCCCTAAGCTTAGGGGTTGAAAGATTTGTTGGGTAAAACGGTTAATAAATCATCCCTGGAGTGTAATGAGGCGGTTGTTTAGTCAACGGGGGGTGGGCTTAGGGTAGAAAATTCAGGGTAAGCTGAGCGCAATAGCAATTAAGGGGATTCCCAGGTATGTGGGGCTCATAAATTGGTCAAAAAAGCTTAATGTCATGGTCAGCTTCAGGGCTCTGTTTTGGGTTTCTCTGTGCTTTGAAGAGTGGGGTCGTTTGGGAAAGTGTGTGCTAGGACTTTTGGGGGAATGACTGTTAGAAAGACTAATCAGGAGAAGACTAGAATAGCAAATCAAGGCGCGGGGTTAAGTTGTGGCATTTCGCTAGGGGTGGGCGGGGGTCACCAGTTTTTAGCTTAAAAGGCTAACGCTATTCCCTATTTAGCTTCTTAGCGAAGCGTCTTCAAGTATTAAGGATGATCAGTTTTCAAAGTGTTCTAATGGAACTGCCTCTACTACAATAGGTATAAAACTGTGGTTAGCACCACAAATTTCAGAGCATTGGCCATAAAAGACCCCGGGGCGGGATGCGATGAATGCTGTTTGGTTTAGGCGGCCTGGGACGGCGTCTATTTTTACTCCAAGACTTGGGACGGCTCAGGAGTGAAGCACGTCTTCAGCAGAAATTAGGATTCGAATGGGGGATTCAACTGGGACTACTATTCGGTGGTCTGCTTCCAGAAGACGAAATTGGCCGGGGGCCAGGTCTTGTGTGGGGATTATATACGAGTCGAAGCCGAGGTCCTCATAATCAGTATACTCGTAGCTTCAGTATCATTGGTGACCTATAGCTTTAATTGTAAGATGCGGGTCATTGATCTCATCTATAAGGTAGAGAATGCGTAAGGAGGGGAGGGCAATAAGAATAAGAATAATAGCTGGGAGGAGGGTTCAAATGATTTCGATTTCTTGAGAGTCAAGGATAAATTTGTTAGTCAGTTTGGTTGTTACTATGGCCACAATAATATAAAGCACGAGGGTGCTAATTAGGAAAACAATTATTAAGGCGTGGTCGTGGAAGTGAAGAAGTTCTTCTATCACAGGGGAAGCTGCATCTTGAAAACCTAGTTGAGAGGGATGTGCCATTATTGCAAGACACGCGGGGTTTAAACCCGCAATTTTGCCTTGACAAGGCAATGTAATATCAACTTTACTAGTGTCTTATGAAGAAAGTGACAGAGTGGTTATGTGACTGGCTTGAAACCAGTTTATGGGGGTTCAATTCCTCCCTTTCTCGTTAGTGAGGGTTTGAGGGGGTGGCAGCAGGTTTTTTGTAGTCTAATCAAGCCTGCTGAACTTGAACAAAGGCCGGCTCTTCGAAGGTGTGGTAAGGAGGAGGGCAGCCGTGAAGTCATTCTACGTTTGTTGCTGTGAGTTCCACTGACAATACTTCCCGTTTAGCGGCGAATGCTTCTCAAATAATAAACAGAAACATAATTACTGCAATTAGGGAGATTATTGAGCCAATTGAAGAGACCGAGTTTCAAAGAGCGTAGGCGTCGGGGTAGTCGGAGTATCGGCGAGGCATGCCAGCTAGGCCCAGGAAGTGTTGTGGGAAGAAAGTAAGGTTGACACCAGCAAATATAACCCCAAAGTGAATTTTAGTTCAGGTGTCGTGCAGTGTGTACCCTGAGAATAGGGGGAATCAGTGGACGAAGCCAGCAACGATGGCGAATACGGCTCCTATTGAGAGGACATAGTGGAAATGGGCAACAACATAGTATGTGTCGTGAAGCATAATGTCTAGGGATGAGTTGGCTAGGACGATTCCGGTCAGGCCCCCTACCGTAAACAGGAAAATGAAGCCTAGTGCTCATAAGAGGGGGGTTTCTCATTTAATTGAACCGCCGTGCAGAGTGGCTAGTCAGCTGAAGACTTTTACTCCGGTTGGGATAGCAATAATTATTGTGGCGGAAGTAAAGTAGGCTCGTGTGTCTACGTCCATTCCTACGGTAAATATGTGGTGGGCTCACACAATGAACCCTAGGAGGCCGATGGCCATTATGGCTCAGACCATGCCCATATATCCGAAGGGTTCTTTTTTGCCTGCATAATACGCAACAATATGTGAGATTATACCAAATCCGGGAAGAATTAGAATATAAACTTCTGGGTGACCAAAGAATCAGAACAGATGTTGATAAAGGATGGGGTCTCCGCCTCCGGCAGGGTCAAAGAAGGTTGTGTTGAGGTTTCGGTCTGTAAGAAGTATTGTGATGCCGGCGGCAAGGACGGGAAGGGATAGTAGAAGCAATACGGCAGTAATTAGGACAGACCACACAAAGAGAGGTGTTTGATACTGAGAAATGGCAGGGGGTTTCATATTAATAATTGTTGTAATAAAATTAATTGCACCAAGAATAGAGGACACCCCGGCTAGGTGAAGGGAGAAGATAGTTAAGTCAACAGAAGGTCCTGCGTGGGCAAGATTGCCTGAAAGGGGAGGGTATACAGTTCAACCTGTACCGGCCCCTGCTTCAACTCCAGAGGAGGCGAGGAGAAGTAGAAATGAGGGGGGAAGGAGTCAGAAGCTCATGTTATTTATTCGAGGAAAGGCTATGTCTGGTGCACCAATCATAAGGGGTACTAGTCAGTTCCCAAAGCCTCCAATCATAATTGGCATTACTATAAAGAAAATTATTACAAAAGCATGTGCTGTAACAATTACATTATAAATCTGGTCGTCTCCGAGGAGAGCGCCGGGCTGGCTTAATTCTGCCCGAATTAGGAGGCTAAGTGCGGTTCCTACTATTCCGGCCCAAGCACCAAATACTAGATAAAGGGTGCCGATGTCTTTGTGATTAGTTGAGAAGAATCAACGTGTGATTGCCACAGGTAGGATGGCTGAGCGTCAAGCGGTGGATTGTAGTCCCATGCACAGAGGTTCAAGTCCTCTTCTTATCAAGCCTTGAGGTGTTATACATGTCGGATTGCAAATCCGAAGTAGTAGGTTAGACCCTGCCGGGGCTTTCCCCCGCCCTTTTAGAGGCGGGCGGGGGAAAGGTTAGACAGATGCTTGTTGGTTTAAGCGCTTAGCTGTTAACTAAGAGTTTGTAGGATCGAGGCCTTCCTGTCTAGTAAAGCTTTAGCTTAATTAAAGTGTCTGTTTTGCATACAGAAGATGTGGGTTAGTATCCCGCAAGTTTTAGCAGGGGCTGGGAGATTTTCACTCCCGCTTAGGGCTTTGAAGGCCCTTGGTCTGGGTGCTATCCTAAGCCCCTTAGGGGTTTAATAAGGCCGAGATGGCAGGGGTGAGAGGGAGGAGGCAAATTGTTATTGCAGTTGAAGTGGCGAGGGGGTACGTTAGTTGAGTGGAAGAAAAACGTCAGGGGGTTGTGCCTGTGAGGTTATTAGGGGAAATAGTAAGGGATATTGCGTAAGAGAGGCGGAGATAAAAGTATAGGCTAAGAAGGGCTGAAAGGGCTGCGAGGGTTGCGGTGGGGGCGAGCCCTTGTTTAGTTAGTTCTTGGAGGATAAGTCACTTTGGTATAAAGCCCGTAAGAGGGGGGAGGCCCCCCAGTGAGAGGAGAATGAGGGGTGCAAGAGCTGTCAGGGTAGGGGCTTTTGTTCAGGATATAGCAAGGGTATTAATGTTCGTAGCTTTATTGAGTTTAAATACGAGGAATGTTGAGAATGTTATAACGAAGTAGATTAGAAGGGTGAGGAGTGTAAGGGAAGGGGAAAATTGTAGAACAAGGATTATTCAGCCTAGATGAGCGATTGATGAGTATGCAAGAATTTTACGGAGCTGTGTTTGGTTTAATCCACCTCAGCCACCAACAAGGGCGGAAGTAAGGCCTAAAATAATAAGGAGTGTTGAGTTTGAGGGTTGGATCTGAAGAATTAGGGCAAAGGGGGCAAGTTTTTGTCAGGTTGAAAGGATCAAGCCTGTGGTGAGATCCAGGCCCTGCAAAACTTCGGGGAGTCAAGCATGAAGAGGGGCTAGGCCAACTTTTAGGGCCAGAGCAAGGGTAATTATAGTGCTCGGGAGGGGGTGCGTAATTTGTTGAATTTCTCATTGGCCTGTTAGTCAAGCGTTAGTGACGCTTGCAAATAGGAGGGTGGCTGCAGCAGCAGCCTGAGTTAAAAAATATTTAGTTGTAGCTTCGATTGCGCGGGGGTGGTGGTGTTGGGCTATTAGGGGTATAATGGCTAGTGTATTTATTTCAAGTCCTATTCAGGCGAGAAGTCAGTGGGAGCTAGCAAATGTAATAGTGGTGCCAAGGCCTAAGCTGAAAAGAAGAATGGCTAAGATGTAAGGGTTCATTAGTGAAGGAAGGAGTTTAACCAACATGTTTGGGGTATGGGCCCAAAAGCTTATTTAGCTGACTTTACTAGGAAGTGGTGTAGTGGAAGCACTAAGAGTTTTGATCTCTTCAGGTAGGGTTCGAGCCCCTTCTTTCTAAGGAGTTGGAGGGAATTTAACCCTCATGATTCACTCTATCAAAGTGGTCCTTTATTTCAGGCACAGCTCCGGTCTATAGCTGCGGGGGCAATCCTGTCAGTGCAATTGGAAGGGAGAGGTGTCAAATCACTAGGGCAAGGGTTAGGGGTAAGAAATTTTTTCAGATTAGGTGCATGAGTTGATCATAACGAAATCGGGGGTAGGAGGCACGAACTCATAGGAAGAGTACGGAGAGAAGGGTGGCTTTTATTATAAGGTTTGTTGTTGTGATTTCAGGGGCTATGTGTAAGACGGAGGCGCCTAGGAATAGGGTTGCAGAGAGGGTATTTATCAGGAGAATGTTGGCGTATTCAGCGAGGAAAAAGAGGGCGAAAGGACCTCCTGCATATTCTACGTTAAAGCCAGAGACGAGTTCGGACTCACCTTCTGTGAGATCAAAAGGGGCTCGGTTTGTCTCTGCAAGGGTGGAGATGTATCATATAGCGGCTAGCGGTCAGGCGGGGAGAATTAGTCATACACTTTCTTGGGCTACGCTAAATGTTTGTAGGGTAAAGCCTCCAGTAAAAATAATAGCATTTAGAAGAATTAGTCCTAGGCTGACTTCGTAGGAGATGGTTTGTGCGACGGCTCGGAGGGCTCCGATTAAGGCGTATTTTGAATTGGAGGCTCATCCTGAGCCGAGGATAGAATAGACTGCGAGGCTAGAGAGGGCTAGGAGAAAAAGGATGCCAAGGTTGAGGTCTGCTATAGGGAAGGGAAGGGGCATGGGAGTTCACAGGGTAAGTGCCAGGGTGAGGGCTAATATAGGGGTTAGAAGAAAAAGGATGGGGGAAGAGGTGGAGGGTCGAACGGGCTCTTTTAAAAAAAGTTTTAGGCCGTCTGCAATTGGTTGGAGGAGGCCGTAGGGGCCTACAACGTTTGGACCTTTTCGTAGTTGTATATAGCCGAGGACCTTTCGTTCGACGAGGGTGAGAAGAGCAACGGCTAGAAGAACAAAGATGATTAGGATTAGGGGGTTGAGGATGGAGGTAACTAGTGTTGAAAGCATAGTTAAAGGGAGGGTTTGAACCTCCGTGGAAAGGGCTTAGGTCTTTTGCAATGTCCGGGCTCTGCCACTTTAACAAGCCATTTTCTATGACTAGGGGGCACGCCCTTTTATCTATTTTAGTTGGTTTCAATAGATAAGGGGGAGGCATATTGAGAACAGGGGCCTCTTCTTTTCGGTCCTTTCGTACTGGAAAAGATCGTAACATAGATAGAAACTGACCTGGATTACTCCGGTCTGAACTCAGATCACGTAGGACTTTAATCGTTGAACAAACGAACCCTTAATAGCGGCTGCACCATTAGGATGTCCTGATCCAACATCGAGGTCGTAAACCCTCTTGTCGATATGGGCTCTAAAAGAGGATTGCGCTGTTATCCCTAGGGTAACTCGGTCCGTTGATCGGCTATGTGCCGGATCTTATTGGTCAGAAGTTCTGTTACTTGGAGTTGTAACTCTGGGTTGTAGGGGTGGTGTGCCCCCGGTCCACATGGGGGTTTTTTGTTTCCCCGCGGTCGCCCCAACCAAAGACATTAGAACAGGGGCCAATTGGTTTTAGCCTTTATTTAAGGGGTGTTTAACATGGTCTGTTCTGGTGTCTAAAGCTCCATAGGGTCTTCTCGTCTTATGTTAGTATCCCCGCTTCTGCACGGGGGGATCAATTTTATTGACTGGAAAAAGGAGACAGTTAAGCCCTCGTTATGCCATTCATACAGGTCTTCATTTAAAAGACAAGTGATTGCGCTACCTTTGCACGGTCAAAATACCGCGGCCGTTAAACTTATAGTCACAGGGCAGGCGGGACCTCTTATATTTAGGGTTCAAGAGGCGATGTTTTTGGTAAACAGGCGAGGCTTGTGTTTGCCGAGTTCCTTCTTTTTCTTTTAGTCTTTCCCGGTCTGCACGCCAGTGTGGGGTTAACGGTGAGAAGCTAGGGGTTTTTCTAGTTGTTTGTTTTTTGCCTAGGGCCCTCTTTGTTTTGGGGCCGTTAATGGTCGGTGAAGGGTTCGTTCCGAATTACACTTGTGCGGGGAGAGGTATTTTCTCTTATTACTCATATTAGCATAAACACTTCCATAGTATTATGGAACGGCCTGATAGGTTTAGGGGGGTGAAATTGTATTATCTTTATTAGAAGGTTGGTTAGGTAATGTTCGAGCTTTAACGCTTTCTGAGTAGGTGGCTGCTTTTAGGCCCACTAGAACATTTAACCTTTGAGTTGTTATGATTTTTACCCTCCTTGGAAAGTTGTATTTTGTTTCAAAGGGGCTGTACCCCCTTTGACTAACTCCTTTAATTTCTTTTGTTCGGTGGGAAGGTCTTAAACCAACTGGAATGAAGAATTTGAAGGGCTGAACTTTTATTCAGTTCGCAGGCAACCAGCTATAACTAGGCTCGGTAGGTCTATCACCTCTACTCGAAGTTCTTCCCACTCTTTTGCCACAGAGACGGGGAGGTCCTATAAATTAGACTGCCTTGGAGTAGCTCGCTTAGTTTCGGGGTATCAAACTATAATGCTTTTTGCTTGAGGTTTTCTGGCTAAATCATGATGCAAAAGGTACGAGGGGTTGTCTCTGCTTCTCAGTGCTTTACTGAATTGTTTCATTACTTTTTCAGCTTTCCCTTGCGGTACTTTCTCTGTCGCTCTTGGGTCCTTTTTCGTCGCCCGTACTTAGGTGGAAAAATGGTTTGTTATTAGCAGGATGGTATATTTGGGGGTATAAATAGGGTAGGTTTGGGGTTGATGGGGGGGGCTAGCTGTTGGGCGTCAGGGCGACCCGGTTTGCACGGGGGACTTCTCAGTGTAAGGGAGATGCTTTTCTAGCTTAGCTACACTCTGATTTTTCCAAGTGCACCTTCCGGTACACTTACCATGTTACGACTTGCCTCCCCTTTACCGGTAAAGTGTATTACTTATAGAATGCTGTTGGCTTGGGGAGAGTGACGGGCGGTGTGTGCGCGCTTCAGGGCCGATTTCAGCGGAACGCTCTATTTTCTGCTTACTGCTAAATCCTCCTTCTAATGCACATTTCATTACATTGTTCGTATTTCCTATGGTAGGGAATGTAGCCCATTTCTTCCCCTCTCATATGCTACACCTCGACCTGGCGTTTTGAGTTATGTTAGTTTTGCTTACTGTAATTCCTTCACAGGGTAAGCTGACGACGGCGGTATATAGACGGGAAGGACAAGAGAGGGTGAGGTTTAACGGGGGTTATCGGTTCTAGAACAGGCTCCTCTAGGTGGATCTAAAGCACCGCCAAGTCCTTTGGGTTTTAAGCTAGTGCTCGTAGTACCCGGGCGGATAGTGGATGTAAGGGACTATCAAGGTTTAGGGCTGGGCATAGTGGGGTATCTAATCCCAGTTTGTTTCGCAGCTTTCGTGGGGTCGGGAATATAAAGCCACTTTCGTAGTGGGACTTCTTGCTCTCGGGTACGTATAACAGTTCTGAGGGCGTTCGGCTTTAGTTTAAGAGTTTCCTAACCACTCTTTACGCCGATGTCTGTCAGCTTGAGCCTCTCGTATAACCGCGGTGGCTGGCACGAGTTTTACCGGCTCTCTTGGCTTTAACTAAGTCAAGTTTTCACTTATGGCTTAATGTCTATCACTGCTGAATTCCCTTGGGGGTGTGGCTAAGCAAGGTGTCATGGGCTGCGGGGTGTGCCTGATACCAGCTCCTTGTTTTCGGGCAGAAAACTGTGGGCATTCTCACAGGGGGGCGGAGACTTGCATGTGTAAATTTAGCCAAAGTTGACAGTAAAGTCAGGACCAAGCCTTTGTGCTTACGGGACCTTTCTAGGGTCCGTCTTAACATCTTCAGTGTTATGCTTTAGTTAAGCTACGCTAGCATGTGCAATATTGCAATAGTGTAATATACACATCAAACAATATATATATAATAAACATGTCTGTACATATTAAGTGCGAAAATCACTTCTAGAGCTTTTCCTGTTTCCGGGGGGTTTACAGGAGTCTTAGAGATCTTAGGAGTTTGGGGGGGTAGGGGGGGTTTAACGCGCAGAAACCGGGGGGATAATAGGAAAGTTAGGAGAAAATTAAATATCTGATTAAACTTTATGCTCTTGATATCAGTTATGCAATTCTTCTATCATATCCCGTTATCATTCATACTATTTCTATTGGTGCAAGGAAAATGTTCAACCTTGTCTGTCATTTCTGTATGCACTCTGAGATGTCAAATGAAAGGAAAAAAAAAA